ATAGCTTAGTTTGGGAATTCATTGGGCAGGTAAATCAGTTTTTTTTTCTCCCATTGGAATAATTAGGTTTTTAAACTATTAAAGTTGCTAGAGAAAAATGTTTCTGCTACCATTAAAATTTTTTTTTAAAGAGCAACAGTTAGGTTGTTTTTGTTTTTGAACTAAGGCACTATTAGTGTTACCACAGAAAAGTTCATATACTCCCTGTATAAAAAAAATAGGATACTCAGTTGGCATTTACTAGAAGGAAATACATTTGTAGTTAGATCTTGTTGCTGCTGACCTCCTAGTTCACACAGCTGCCAATTACAGAAATAAATTTGGAAATAATTTATAGGCCATTATACTTTGGTCAGAAAGTTCAAAAGTAACAAAATATGGATAATTGATGTGTTTGTTTGGTGGTCTTAGGTTGTACAATAAATTATAGATCTTGGAAAAATTCCTCAAAGTCTTACAAGTTTCCACCATCTACTGGGGAATTCTGCCTTAACAGAGAAGACACGAAACAGAACACACTATAGTGATGGTTGGTAATGAAAGAATGAGATCAAATTTGGGGACGAGGATTTTTGTCTCCATTGAGCAGATTTGTTCTTATTGGTTTCCTATGGTTAATATTGTGGCAAGGATCATAGATTTAGACCTGGAAAAGCACCAGGCTGGTCCAGCCACCCCTCAGAAGATGGGGAAACTGAGGCCAGAGATGCTACTTGACTTTCTCAACTATTAATTAATATTAATAATAGGTATTAATAGGCAGAATTATGATTTGGATATCTTCTGAATCTCAATCTTTTCATTAACCCATATGGCCTCATCTCAAGGCAGTTTCATTTTATAGTCATTTATGTCCAATTACTAGTATTCTTGACCTCAGTATTTAACTCAGCACATCAAAGTACATGAATATCAGCAATTAAGCAAGTTGAAAGACTGCTTGGTGCATATGTTTTCTTTCTTTATAGTTTTGTTGTTACAGTAGAGCTAGACTAATTTATACTAAATCACTGGAATTTCAGTGATTCAGCTTTCAGACTTTGAGTTTGGAGGTAAGCAAATGAACAATGAAAATGAAGGATGATTTTTTTAAAAGGTACTGATTAAATGTATTTGCACAAGTGTAATTAATTTTTTTAAACTTTTTGCTAAGATGGAATTAAGGAATTTTCTGCGGCCATATTCTGAAAAACATTCTTAGTCTCAGAGTAATAGTCTTGTCTAGTAAATTGGGCCAACAAAGAGAAAGAGTACTCCTTTGCTTCATACCAATATTGTAGGAGTACTGGCTGCTGAGAGAAATGCTGAGAGGAACTGGCATTGTTCTTGTCCTGGGAGCTTTACCTTTTTGTTGTATAGATAATAAATGTCCAGGAATCACCATTATGCAAATTAGAATGTGACAAATGCTTAAGATATATACATACTAAGGGCTATAGAGACACAAAAGAAAGAAATTACTTTGAACTAGGTGCTGAGCTAGGAGGGCCAAGGAGGATGAGGGACTTAACACAAAGTCACACAGAAAGAGTCAAAGGCAGAATTGCATTCCAGATTCCCTAGGAATTTATAGCTAACATTTTCCCACTGCACTTATTTGACCTTCTCATTTTAAAGGAAACTGAGACCCAGAGAGGTTAAGTTACTTATCCAGGGTTACTGCCCAAGATAATAAGCATCACGTGCTAGGGGAGTAGTTTGACAGATGGAAATAATAAGGAAAACCTTTCCTTTCGGAGACAACAATGTGAGTACAGTGGCAGGAAGCTTAGAGGGGGCACAGGTGAGGGTGTGGGTTGGTTTTGTCTTGAGCTTTTAATTTGTGATGATTTTCATTTGAGATAAGTTTGAAAAGATAGTCTGGGGTTAGGATCTGGGAGAAATGAATGGAACTTGAATTTTATTGGGTAGGCAGTGAGAAGATTGAGGAGCCCTTTGAAGAGTTTTGAGCAAAAGTGTTCCATGACCCAGTGTTTTAAGATGAATACTCTCTGGCTGCTTTACGTGGGATTGGGGAATGGGGATGGGGGTGAGGAGAGAGAAGGGGAAGGGGAAAACACTGAGAAGCCTGGAGACTAATTAGCAAATCTTTGCAGCAGTTTAGTTAAGAGACAACAAAGCTAAGAACAAGGGTAATGGCAATGGAAAGGAGAAACCGGATATAAGAGACATGGTAGAAAAAGCACTATGGTGAAATGATCAGAGCAATGGACGGAAAATCAGGAGACCTGGATCCTGTTCCAAACTCTGCCACTTAGCTGACTATGTGGCTCTGAAAGCTAAACAAAAGAATTTAATCTTCCTATGCCTCACTTTAATCATCTGTAAATTATGAACAGTGTTGGACTAGGGGATTCCTCAGGTATGATCTACTTCTAAAGTTCTGTGATATTGTTTCTTCCTTCTGATGGTAGAATTGGTAAGACTTGTTGAATGATTAAGCAAGAAGTAGAACATGCTTTGCTGTTTACACCCTGGATGACTTCAAGGGTTGTGGTGACATTAATAGAGAAAGAGATTGGATCCAGAAAAGCTAAGTACTTTGGATTTTATGGCCCCAACAATTGTTGGCAGTCAAGACTTTTCTTGATAATTCAACCTACTTAATGAAAAATCTGAAGAAACGTCATTAATGGAAAATGTTGAAATAAAATAGGGAGAGAAGCCACATTGCATCAGAGGGCATTTTCTAGTTGCATTTTTATTCAGAATACCTGAGAGAATCTAGGAGGAGGTTAACCTTTGGATCTCAATTATTTTTGAAGTATAATGCTTGAATAATCTCATTTCATAAATCCCATTGAAGAACATTACCTTGTAAATGTCTCATGAAGCAGAAGAATCACAGGGACGTTTAAAATGTGAAATGCCTTTGGTCTCATTGGGCTTTCTCTTTATCCTTTACCTTGTCCCACTTATTATTTTGTCTCAGGCCCCTCTTGAGCTTTTAAACTGCCAATTAGGCCAAATGATGATGACTATGGTGGTTTTGAGATCAAATGTCTGGGGGGATTATGTTGAAACTATCAAAAAAGTCATTTAACTTGTGGCTTAAACTGGATCTTTCCTTGGGTCTCAAGAGGCAAATGGTAAGTGTGTCAACTCATTGCTTAGCCAGATGTGATCCATCTGACCTTTGGCCTGAATCCAACTCATTTGGGTTGGGTTGGGTTTTCAGTGTTACCCAGAACCATGGAGAAGGTGATGTGATCACAATTTCAGCCAGCAAAGGGGACAGAGAGGAGAAAGATTTGGATAGGACCCAGAGGGAAACCTTGTGATAATTCTATTAATCATTGATGAAAACTTACTTAGGGCAAAAGCACATTCCAAAGCCATACAGTAAGGATATGTCTGTATTTTTAAATCTGTCTCTACAGAGATTAGAAAAAAAAGAATAAGGGATTTAAAAAAAAAAAAGATGGCAAGTGCTTTTCAATTGTGTTCATTACCCAGAGATCTTCAGGAATATAGTGTTTTATGAGATCAAATGCGAAAATATTTTTTCAAGCACTTAGCACGGTATGTGGTGCATAGTAGGCAATATACAAATGTTGAGTACCATAATTACTAGCATTATTAAAATGAATGGATGTTTTATTCACATATGTTGCTCATTGTCTAATACACTAGTATTTGTTCTTAGGATTTTTCTTACTATTCAATAGTGAGAGTAGGCTGACCTGAAGAAATGCCTGGCACCTTTCTGCTGTATATACAGTCATTGCACTAGGGCTTGCTTTCTAGCCCTTCTCCTAAACTGTCTACCTTTTGACCTGCTCATGAACACACTGACTACAGGCTCCTCAGGGGAAGAATATGGCAGCCAGATGCAAGGGTCCATCAGCTACTTGTTGGATACCCTGGTAAAGGGATTGAATGAAAAAGGGGGTTAAGTCTACCAGTTAAAATTATAATTTTTCAGTTATCTTTGAATTTCTGTTATTTATGCTAAGTTTGTCTTTCATGAGTCTTTCATTGAACTCAACCAATATTTATTGAGTACCTACTAAATGCAAAAGACTTTGTCCTGGATGCAACTGAGAATGCAACAGTGAATAATAAAGAACTGATTACTACAGAGAGAAACTGAGACATTTGATTCAACTCAAAAAAATGCCCACAATATGCAAGTCACTATGCTGAGCACTGAGGATTAAAAAAAATTAGAAAGAACACATCTTTGCCTTGGAGAGCCTTGTAGTCTCTGGGGTGGAGGAAGGCATTGGTGGTGGTAATGGGTTGTGTGTGTTACATAAGATAGTTGAATAAAGAAGCAATACAAGATAGAATGTGAAGGTCATTGGAGAGATACAGCAGTTTTAGAATGTTTGAAGACAGGCTTCATTTGCTTCAGCAGGGACTATCAGTGGGGAGTGGAGATCCAGAGAGATTTTATAAAAGAGTTGGCATCTGTTTTGGCCCATAATGGAAGAGAAGGATTTCAGTAGTCAAAGATGATGAAGGAAATGTTTTTCAGACGCAAGAGACAGCTTGCAGGAATGCATAGAGGAAGAAGAATGTAAGATGTGGTTGAGCAATAACTGGCATTGTAGTTTGGCTAGAGTGTAGAGAATATGAAGAGGAGTAATAAGAAACCCTGAAAGGAAGAATCGAACCAGATTCTGGAAAAGAGAATTGTATCAGTCCAAAATACTCAGGCAGAGGGAATTACAGATAAGGAATATATCTGAGATGCCTTTAACAACTGTTTTCAGGGCCCACAGGTAAGGGCAGAGTTGTATCCTTGAGCTTCTACTAAATTCTCACCATTCGTAGGTTACCACTTAGTGTGCCTAAAGTCAGTAATCTGGCCTACTAAGCTGACAAAGCTCTTAATGTTTGTCAAAGGCCTCAATGGCTGTGAGTCCCCACCTGTACAGGAAATGTCCTACCTACCTAATCTGCCATATATTACTTGAACTTCTTCCCTGGGCTTAACAAAACACCTAAAATCTGTGTGTGTGTGTGTGTGTGTGTGTGTGTTTTTGTCTTTCTAGGTATAACAACAATCTTAAGATAAAAAACAAAATAAAATTAAGTGATATGTGGACAGCAAGCTGTGTGGATGAAGTGGGTGAAGGGAATACCAATACTATGAAGTCATTTGTTTTAGGATGGCCTATTGTCAACTTTGTTGCCACTTTCAGGTAGGAACTAATATTTGTGACTGATGATTGTGTTATTTCTATTCATTTTCCTTTAGGGACTTACTTTTCATTGCTCAGCTATAGCATTCACAAAGGGCTCACAGAGCAGAGAAATAATGCTTGTTCTATTTGGCTTCAGAAGAGAAAATTAGAGTACATTTTGTGGGGTGGCAAATTTGGGCTGTATTGTAGGAAAATAATAACTTCCTAACAACCAGAACTGTCCGAAATGGAATGAGCTGCCATTGGAGACGATGAGGCCCCTACTTAGTTACTCACAGGTTCAAGGGGCACCTTTGAGGCTGTCTAGTCCAGCCTTCTCATTTTACAGATGAGGAAATGAGACCCATGGAGGTGAAGTGACTTGTTCAAGGTCACATAGGCAATAAGCAGCAGAAGTGGGATTTGAACCCAGGTCCTCTGCCTACAAAGATAGTGCTCTCTCTGCTGTACCATGTTATCCATCTTCATGTCCTCTTTGTCAAGAATAGTGCCTTTTGCCCATGGTAGGAACTAGAGGTATAACTACTTATCTAAGCTTTTATAGATGGGATTTATGTCTCAGCAAAGAATTTGACTATGTGCCCCGTAAGATATCTTCTTCTGAATATTCCACAATTTTAAGAAACTTTTCCTTCTTTGTCCCCAAAGGATGGCCCCAGGTAGAGAGGGCTGATCAGTGGGATACCTTAAATGGGTACCTGGGGAAAGAGAATCTTTTGATAATGGGCTACGAGGGTAGAGTACCATATGGATAAAAAGAGAGAAGGATGTCTGACTTCAGACACATAACACTCACTAGTTGTGTGACTCTGGGCAAGTCACTTAACCCCAACTGCCTCACCAAAAAAAAGAGGGAGGGCAGCTAGATGGTGCAGTGGATAGAGCACTGGCCCTGGATGCAGGAAGACCTGAGTTCAAATCTGGCCTCAGACACTTGACATTCACTGGCTGTGTGAGCCTGGGCAAGTCCCTTCACCCCATTGCCTCGTCCAAAGGAAAAGAAACAAAGAGGGAAGGATGAACATCTATTTAAGAAGAAAGTGGGGTATTTGTGACAGTGACAGTTCCGTCATCAGAAATCAACAGCAGAAGCCCAATAACCACTTGTCAGGGATGTATAGAAAGATTGCTGCATTTGATAGAATATTCTATACCTAGAATTCTTCCACATTTTATAGGAGAGAGTAAAATACAAACTAGCAAATAGTATCCAATTTGATTTCCATGGAAAACTCAAATAGCATTAGATTATATTTCAGCCTGAGTCCGTTATCTTTTAAACTCTTTGAGGTTTCTGAGGACACTGATAAGGGCTTATATTTTCCCATATGAGTTTTTCATTAATGTGTTTGAAGAACTGACAAAATAGCATTTCTCAGTCAATCTTGTTATATATAGGTTTCCACAAGTGTAGACTTTACTTTTGGTGAGGTCATGAATAATGGTCCTTCAGGGGTGAGTCACACAGAGCGATTTAATAAGAGAGGTACATGGTGGGAATGAGTAAGTTTTAACTTATTACCAATGGAATTGTGGAAAACATTAAAAAAAAAACAACATAAAAGTGATGTGTGACCCAAAAAGCAGGATAGGAGAGGTTGGTCATGAAGTGAGAGTGAGGCTAACCGATGGGCAGTCTGCGTGCTGCATTGGTACCCTCATGTGATGACAAGATACCTAGAGGAAGGCCCCGCATCACATTTGGTTCTTCTTCAGTGCAGAATGTCTATGAGGACAAGAGGTCGATGAGGTATGCTCCTATCCTGTGGATAGAATGCCCTCTTTGATGAAGTCATAGAATCATTAAAACATTTGTAATGGTCAGATGGACAGGTAGGTGGCACAGTGGGTTGAGTGCCAGGCCTGGATTCTGTAAGACACATCTTTGTGAATTCAGATTGGGCCTCAGACACATTAGCTGTGTGACCCTGGGCAACCCTTGTTCTTCATCTGTAAAATGAGCTGGAGAAGAAATGACAAACTTCTCCCATATCTTTGCCAAGAAAACGCTAAATGGAGACCAAAGAATCAGACACAACTGAAATGACTGAATGATAATAGTGGTCAGGTGATTAATACTACTATAAAGTAATACCCAAATACTACTGTGAAGACATGTGAAAATTACTCAAAGCAATAGATATGTTGTTAAAATTACAAAACTCTGCCATTTCATTTATGCCATAGAATAGCAGTGGGGTACCACATGGTCAGACCAGGTGGTTAGATGGTCTGATGTGGTATCTCTAGCCCACGTCACAGAAAATCATAGTTGTCACTGTTGTGTAGAGGGGTAGAGAATTATGTCTCAGGACTTAGTCATAAGTTGCACTGGGAATAGATAGGAATTCCATCTGCAACATCCCTGACCAAGTAATCATCTGTCCTCTGTTTGAATACTTTCATTGATAGGGAACTACTCACTATTTCACAAGGCACTCCATTTCTATTATTGGACAGTTCTAATTATTAAGAAGCTCTGCCCTAGATTTAACTGTAAGCTGCCTCCCCTTAGTTCCTAATGATTGATCCTAGTTCTTTGAGGTCTCATTAAGTACCAAAAGTCCTAGTTATCTGAGTCCTCCCAGCAAAAATGAGTCCCCATTCAAATATCCCTCCACCTTTACACTAGCTCTATCTCTTCTTCAACCATCAGTATTAAGTAGCTGATGGTGATGGGCTCTTCTTAAGAGAATGATTTGAATGTCAAAGGATTAGGGAGGCCTTGGGGAAAATTGATGAAGAAATGGAATATTTGCAACAGTAACTTTCTTTATGACTGTAATGTAAAAGTCAAATGTAAAATGGTTATATACTGTTATCCTAAAATTTTATTGGAAAAATTATGCCCCCAAAAAGTCAGCATTTGATTCATTCTGATTATTAGTGAAGAGGCATAATTATAACCCACATTTTGTTTAAAAAAACAAAAAACAGCTTATTTTCATAATTGTTGGTTTCATTTTTCAAAATGAAGTCCCAGTATTCAATATTTTTCCAGTATTCAGTCCCCATTGTAAGTAAATTCACTTTTAGAAGCCTCTTCTGGTACTAATCACACTTAGATAATGACATTCTGTATAATGGGAAGTATATTTCCTGCATTTCCTGTTAACCCACTTAGTGTTTCAGAAATCCCTCTCTCCTCCAATTCAGAATTTAGATCTTGAAAAATGATCAGCTGTTAAGGGCTTGTCTGTTAATTAACTTACCTCCTTGCTGAAAGCATTTCCCTTGACTGTTTCCTGCTCATTTAACTACCACTTTGACCCTAACTGCCCAAAGCTGTGCCAAACCACCAAAGAGTACTCTGTATGCCCTCCCAAAAACCATCTGTGTGGGATCTGCTGACCGCTGAGGCCCTTCTAACAAAAATTCCAACTAACAAATAAGGAAATTAATTAAATCAATGAAATGGACTATTTTTCAAAGTTTATTTGGAAAAAAATGTATATGTTATTATTTCTCTTAAGGTGAAAGTGATTGGGAAAAAAAAAGTGAAGAATTAGCTGCATAATTCTATGGTGCCTTTAATAATTCCATGCAATTATTTTCACTAGGGAGAAAGAGGATGAGGAAGCCTATTGTTTTATACAGTGCTGGCAAGACAATGAAATCTGAACTAGATTCTCTTTCACAGTGAAGGGAGGGGAACATTGACATGAACAGTGGGAAACCATAGAAAATCTCCCAGCTAGGACTTCTGGGAAATTTTGTCATCTCTTTCAAGGTTATGGGGTTGCACCAGGGCTTTGGTCTTGATCCAATAGGTCAAAGTATTTATTGACTGGGTGTCAGGGAGTATAAATGAGTAATGAGAAATTTTTAAAAAACTGTATAAAATGAATAATATTAATTGAATAAAGGCTCATTGGGATTTCTTTTCAAGTAAAGAAATTTGTGAATCTGACTTACTTTTTGACTGAGGTCTTGCCTAATAAATACTAAGACTTGATCTAAAGGCTGCATTCATTCCAAAACTATAAGTAATTATGGAAGAGGAAAAGTATATATATCAAGGTTACAAAAGATAGAAAGCTTTATGACAGTCAATCCAGGGAGATTATTTAGAAGAAAACTTGCTAAGCAACATTGATATAAACAAATTATAAATGTTTATTAAAAGCTTTTTCCTGGAAGAGGAAAAAATGAGAATAGTTTCTAGTTCCTCTAAGTGATTTCTCTGTAAATATGAACAACTGATTGAAAGTGCCAATGAAATATTGGTATAACCATGAAAGGCCGAACATTTATCATTTCATCTTCACCTATGTCCTCAACATAGGGATGCCTAAGATAGAGATTAGGGAGCAATAACTTAGCTGCAAGTGTGCACAATGAGAGGATTGTGAGAGTAAATGGACTCAGAGTTTTAAAGATTCTAGGAAACAAATGAGTGAACCACAAGGGGTTAATAAGTACAATTGGAGTTGTCAACATTAAACAACAAAAAAGAGAACTGAATTTTTTCCCCCAATTAGTATTTGAGTTTTCTATGCAAAGATTTTCATACAAATTTTAAATCTGTTAGTATGCCAGAATCTCCCTATAATACCATTCACTGTGGAACAGAAGACAGTAAAAGATGGGTCTGTCTTGAATGCTGGATGAGGGGCTTAGAATTTGTGAAAATGCCAGATTAATGGTAATCATACCTTACATATGGATGGGGTTTTAGAAGTTTTCAAAGTATTTTTTCATATTTCATGTTATAAAGAGTATCCTAAAAGTCTTGGTTCATTTTTAAGCCTAAAATTAAAACTGCATTCAGACTTGTGGGACATGCTATATAATGCAAAATTAGATTTGCAGGCACTGAATTTTAATTCTTTCCTCTAGAACAAGACTTCAGCTCAAGAAGGTTTAGCTCAGGATCACTATCCATCACTGTATACTTAAACTTTTCAGGGGATTTTACTGATATGGTTGTTCTAACAGTGCAGATCATTACTCATCCATACTTTCTTATTCTACAGGACTCTTGCCCATGAGGTCTTCCTATAAGTCACTGAACATTTCTTGGTTATTGGTGTAATACTTGGGCTGTCCATCTGTTAATTCTCATTCTTTTTTTATTATTTTTACTTTTTATTTTTTTTAATTTTTAGGCAGTTGGGGTTAAGTGACTTGCCCAGGGTCACACAGCTAGTAAGTGTCAAGTGTTTGGTCTGAGGTCCGATTTGAACTCAGGTCCGACTGACTTCAAGGCTGGTGTTCTATCCAGTGCGCCACCTAGCTGCTCATAATTCTCATTCTTGCCGCGTAACTGACCCATCTCCTTTTCTAGTCATATTTTTCATATTTGATGACATTTTTGCTACTTTCTGTCCATGAGTTGGTAGCATGCTGTAGCTTACTTTCCCCCACATATCTTTCCGTTGCCCTTTGGGATATCTGATGGGCCAAATTGGTGTTATAAGACTTTGCAACCATATACCATCTCCAGAAGGTCATTATTACTATCAGTGATAAAATCATGACTGGATTCAAATAAATGATCAAATTTATATGATCTAGTCTGGGAGATTTTTATAAGGCAATTTTACCCATCAGGGAGTTCCAAAATAGGAATCCCTCTCTTTGACACTGGAGTCAGTGATATTCTAGCTTATTTCTATTCACTTGTGTCTCAGAATTTACTGACTTGGTAGTGTTTTCCAGTAGATTGGGGATTATAGATATGTAAAAAGGAACATTTGATTTCATTTGACTTTTGTTTCTGTTTTCTTTGACTACAGCTCTCCAGAACAAAAGGAAAGGTGGCTTTCTCTTCTCCAGAGGTATTTTAACAATATCTTGATTTTGACCTGAAGCTTTATTTTCTTAACTGGTAATGATAGAATAAAATTTTTCCCCCAAAAGATTACCTTAAATCAGTATCTTTTTCTTCCATAGAAATGGTAAGACTGTGACTGTAGGAAGGTATTATCCACATTATATACTAGGAATAATAATGTACAGTTAGTTTATTTTCTAATTTTACATATGTACATACATGCATGCATACATACATAAACTTTCTTTGGAGAATGTTCACTTTTTGGAGAGGAACAATTGGTTAAAAACTCTTTCCTCTTGTTGCACACTAGTGAATTTAAATGTTTGCCACATTCTCACTAATATGAATCATTATTATCCTGAGATAAAATTTAATGATTTCCCACAAAAACCTAGCACTCTACTTTGTCACATCCAAATCAAGTTAAATCATCATTATCCCTATTCTCAAGGAGCTTACAGTCTAATTTTTCTTTTCCTTGCTTACTTTAAAATATTTGTTGTCATAGACATGGCTATTATCTCTAGAAAGTGATGCCTAAGAATTGATCTGCTGGAGAGTTACAAAACACAAAAATGTAAATTATGACATTCCTTCTTACTTACCAATATTATGCTCGATCCAAGTAGAAATAGAGAATATTGCAGAAGTCTGGGAGAGTGGGGAACAGACCATAAATCAGAACTTCAGGATGATAGGTTTCACATGATCACAACCATGCCTAGGCCCATGTTTATGTCTTCAGATTTCCTATTTGCTCTTTTGCCTTATGATTGATTTGTCTTCTTAATAACATTAGTGTTTCTGTAAATGTTAAAAATTAGATAGTTTAATTAAAAATATGCCATTACCCAAATCTATCTGATTTATTGCTGTGTATATTTGTGTTTGCATTTGATTAGATATATTGATGAAGAGAAGGAGAAGGACCATCCAAAGAGCATTCCCCTTAAATTGTTTGCAAAGGACATTGGGAATTGTGCTTATGTAAGTGTTTTTCTAAGTCCACCAATTTAATTCCAAGTCCTAGGATATGAAAGAACACAAGAAACACTAGGGGTTGGGAGAGGAATGGAGAAGACATTCAGAAATAACTATGTGGGTAGAAACCTCTCTCTATGTATGTAAAATGCAAATTCTGGGGCATGCAGAGTAGTGAGAAATCCATGTTAGTTCCAGTCTTTGATATCTTTAGAGTGTATATTTCAGAATATCCAAGGAAATACTTATCATGTGTCTCTCTCCTCCTCTCTTCCTCCCTCTGGCCTGAATGCTTCACTGGCCTCTTTGAGAAGCAGCTGCAGGGTCATGTTGCTGTATTGACTAAAGAAAGTCATTTCCCCAAAGAGGTATTTCCTATTAATAATAAACAGTCTCCATTTTCTGAACTGTCGTTTCTTAAATAGTGGATACTTCAGTTTGTAAAAGATCAGACTTCATTCTATGGAGCTGAAGAGAATAGCAACCCCCCCCTCCCCAAACCTCACCCCCCTACATGAGTGGACTACACAAACTTGATTTTTATAAGACAGCAGCATATTTCCATCCTCCTTCCCCCCTCCCCACCCAGAGGATACTTTTGTCTTATATTGGTCAAAGTAGGAGAGTTTTAAGTCTCCGTTGTTGCATGTAACTCAGTGTTCTAGAATTGTGGTGCAGTGGCAAAGATGTTATCAATAGTCAAAGATAAAAAACTTCATTTTCTGAAATTTTAAAAATGACACTATGGTCTCTTATAGGCTACAGCAGATCTAGATCACTGGGAACTGTGCTATTTTTATGTGAAAAAAAAATGTGTAGTACAAAACTGTCATGTTCTAGCCAAAAGCAAAAGTTTCACAAATGTTCTGACCTATTCCTGAGTGCCAGATGTCACTGCTTGAAAGAAATGCTTGATTTTTTAATAGTCTGAGAACTCAGTGATCTCCTGTGGCATTCTCCTCTCTTGTCTTTGTCCTTTGCTTTAGTTGAGTGAAAATTGGTTACTTTAAAGGTTTTTGTGGAAGATCACTTGGTTCTTTCTTTTAAAAAGGTGTGGATGTGGGTGTGGGTATGTGGGGGGGGTGGGTGTGTATGTGTGTGGGTGGGTGTGGGTGTGGGTGTACATACATATATGTCTTCAGCTTTTTGCTGTGGGAAAAATTGGTGACCAGTAAAGTCTGATGTTAACACACTGAAATAGAGAAGACAAGGAAAGTGGAAATGCAGGCAAGGGTGCTTTCCTGTAGAAGCAAGAAGGAGCTACAGACTTGGTGGTGGAGTGAGGAAAGAACCCTCTGAAGCCCTCCCAAGTTCCCCTCCAAAAAGCTAGAAAACAGCCTCAGAATTGGTCTAGGAGCAGGGAAGCAGCTTACCAGCCCAGCAGGAAAGCTCGGTCTCACTGGGGTGGGAGGGGAGAGAGGTCCAAGAGCAGCAGCAGCAGCCACTTCATAGCAGGGAGGCTGCAGCCAGGCTACAAGCCTGGAGCGATCCACCAGCAAGGTCCCAGCACCCTCCTACAAAGTAGCAGCCCCCTAAGCAAGTGAGCAGGCTGTGCAGTACAGCAAGGCCTCAACCGCTGCACAAGCCATCACCCAGGCCTAGAAACCCATTGCTGACCAGTAAGGAAGCCTAGCCCCAGGCCTTATCAACAGTGAGGACCCAGCTTCCCTTGGGACCTACCAGCAGAGAGATGCTATTTCCATAGCAACCCAGCAGCAAGGACCCTCCTCTTCAGGCAGACCAGCAGCAAGATCCCTCCTCCAGGGCCAGCCAACAGAAAGACTCTGTTACCATAGCAACCCAGGAGCTAGGCCCCATCCCTAGGGCAGACCAGCAGCTAAACTCTGCACACAGGGGAGGCCAATAGGGAGGCCCCACCCCCTTGTACAAGGCAGTGAAAGTCAGCAATAAGACCCTGAGCCCTAGCATTAAAAACTTAGGACAATACAAGACCAGAGCCCAACTCTCACATAAAAACACCAAGTCACAAAAAGGGCAGAAAAAAAGAGCAAAAAAATAAAAAAGAGCTTGACTATAGAAAGTTACTATGGTGATAGGGAAGATCAAAGCATTAACTTTAGAAGAGGACAATAGTGTCAAAATGGCTACATGTGAAGTCTCAAAAAAAATTTAATTTGGTCTCAGGCCCAAAAAGAATTCCTGGAAGAGCTTAAAAAAGATTGCATAAAGCAAATTAGAGAAGTAGAAGAAAAATTGGGAAAAGATGAGACTAATGCAAGAAAATCATGAAAAAAGAGTCAATAGCATGGGAGAAGACATACAAAAACTTACCAGGGAAAATATCTCCTTAAAAAATAGAATTGGCCAAATGGAAAAGGAAGTATAAAAGTTCACTGAAGGAAATAATCCCTTAAAAATTAGAATTGAACAGGTGGAAGCTAATGACTCTATGAAACGTCAAGATGTGATAAAACAAAATCAAAAAAGTAAAAAAAAAAAAAAGAAGAAGAAAATATGAAATTTCTCATTGGAAAAACAACTGACCTAGAAAATAGATCCAGGAGAGATAATATAAGTATTGGACTACCTAAAAGCCATTATTTCAAAAAAAAAAAACCTAGACAGCATATTTCAAGAAATTATCAAAGAAAACTGCCCTGAGATATTAGAACCAGGGACAAAATAGAAATTGAAAGAATCCACTGATCACAGCCTGAAAGAGAGCTCAAAATCAAAACTCCCAGGAACATCATAGCCAAATTCCAGAGCTCACAGATCAAGAAGAAAGTATTGCAAGCATCCGAAAAGAAACAATTCAAATACCATGGAGCTACAATCAGATTTACACAGGATTTACTCACTCTCACATTAAAAAACTTGGAGGGCTTTGAATATGATATACCAGAAAGCAAAGGAGTTAGTATTACAACCAAGAATCATTTACCCAGCCAAATTGAATATAGTCTTTCAGGGAGAAAAATGGACATTTAACAAAATAGAGGACTTTCAAGTTCTTTTAATTAAAAGACCAGAGCTGAATAAAAAATTTGACTTCCAAATTTAAGACCCAAGGGAAACATAAAAATGTAAAAAAGAAACAAGAAAGAGAAAACATAAGAAATTAAATAAGGTTAAACTGTTTATATTTCTAGGTTGCAAGATAATATTTATAATTCTTAACAACTTTATTACTTTAAGAGCTGTTAGAAGGAGTATGTGTAAACAGAAGGTTTGAATATAAGGTGACTTTCATGGTATGATACCAAGAAAAACAAAATAAAGGAGTGAGAAAGAAAATTGCATTGGAAGGAGGGGGAGATTGAATGAGATAAATTATCTCACATAAAAGAGACATGAAAGAGCTATTATAATGGTGGGACAGATTGGGGGGTGGGCAAAGTTTAAACCTTACTCTCATCAAAATTGACTTAAAGAGGGAATACTGTACACACTTCATTGGATATAGACTCTATCTTACCCTGCAAGGAAATAAAAAGGGATGGGATAATAGAAGGGGAAGGGAGAGACTGATAAAAGGGAGGGTAGATTGGGGATGATGGTGATCAGAAGTAAAACACTTGTGAGGAGGGAAAAGGTTGGGAGAGTAAGAGAGAAGGGGAGATAGAAAAGGTAAAAATAGTATGGAAGGAAATTCACAGTTAGTTATCGTAACTATAAATATTAATGGGATGAACACACCCATAAAATGGAAATGGATAGCAGAATGGATTAAAAACCATAATCCTATGATATGATGTTTACAAGAAACATATTTGAAGCAGAGAGATACAGAGAGGGTAAAGGCAAGGGGCTGGAACAGAATTTATTATGCTTCAGCTGAAGCAAAGAAAGCAGGGGTAGCAATCATGATCTCAGAAAAAACAAAAGCAAAAAAGAGATCCAATTAAAACAGATAAGGAAGGAAACTATATCTTGCTGAAAAGTACCACAGACAATGAAGTTACACCAATACTAAACATAAATGTACCAAATGATATAGCATCTAAATTTCTGAAGGACAAATTGAATGTGTTACAGGAGGAAATAGATAATAAAATTGTGCTAGTGTGGGACCTCAACTTTCCCCTCTCAGAACTAGATAAAACTAACCTTCAAAAAAATAAACAAGAAGGAAATTAAGGAGATGAATAAAATTCTGGAAAAGTTAAATACGATAGATCTCTGAAGAAAACCGAATGGGAATGGAAAGGAATATACCTTTTTCTCAGGAGTACATGGCACCTACATAATCAATAATGTCATTAAAGAAAATGACAACAATGCTACAACATAGCAGAATTTATGGGATGCAGCCACAGTGGTACTTAGGGAGAAATTTGTGTCTCTAATTACTTTCATTGGTAAAATAGAGAAAAAACAGGTTGATGAATTGGACATGCAACTAACAAAACTAGAAAAAAAAAACAAATTAAAAATACCCAATTAAATACCAAATTGGAAATCCTGAAAATCAAAGGAGAGATTAATAAAATTGAAAGTAAGAAAACCATTGAACTAGTAAATAAAACTAGGTTTTTGAAAAAAAAAACACAGTAAAATAGAAAAACCATTGTGTAATTGGATTTAAAAAAGGAAAGGAGAAAGTCCATTACTAGTATCAAAAATGAAAGGGTTGGATTCACTACCAGTGAAGAGGAAATTAAGACAACTGCAAGGAGCTATTTTGCCAAATTATATGCCATTTAATTTGACAATCTAAATGAAATGGCTGAATATCTAAAAAAAAAAAAAACCCATAAATTACCCAGAGTAACAGAAGAGGAAATAGAGTACTTAAATAACCCAGTCATAGAAAAACAAATTGAACAAGCCATCAATAAACTTCCTAAGAAAAAATCCCCAGGACCAGATGGATTGACAAGAAAATTCTACCAAACATTTAAAACACAATTAATCCCAATACTATATAAACTGTTTGGAAAAATAGGCAAAGAAGGAGTCCTACCAAATTCCTTTTATGACACACAAGCAAAAGGAGGTGGTCTAACCATACCAGATCTCAAACTGTATTATAAAGCAGTAATTATCAAAACAATATGGTACTGACTGAGAAACAGAGTGGTGGATCAGTGGAATAGATTAGGTCCAAATCATATTATAGTAGATAAACCCAAGATCCAAGCTTTTGGAAGAAATACTCATTATTTAACAGAAACTGCTGGGAAAACTGGAAAACAGTACGGCTGAAACTAGGTATAGACTAACATCTCACTATCTGCCAAGACAAGTGAAAATGCCATGTGATTTACACATAAAGAGTGATGCCATAAGCAAATTTAGAAAGCTTAGAATGGTTATCTGTCAGATTTGTGGGTAAGAGAAGAATTTAGGATCAAAGAAAATATAGAGAGAATTACAAAATGTAAAATAGATAATTTTTAATTTTATAATTTTATGTATTAAATTATTATATGTAAGTTATTAAAATTATGAATTTGGAAAAAAATTTGCACAAACCAAATCAATGTAACCAAAATTATAAGGAAAGTGGCAAACTGAGGAAAAAATTTTGCAACAAGTATCTCTGATAAAGGCCTCATTTCTCAAATATGTAGAGAACTGAGGCAAATTTGTAAAAATAAAAAGTTATCCCCCAATTGATAAATGGTCAGATAATATGAACAGGCAGTTTTCAGACAAAGAAATCAAAGCTATCTATAATCATATGAAAAAAATGTTCTAAATCACTATTGATTAGAGAAATGTAAATTAAAGCAACTCTGACATACGACCTCATACCTATCAGATTGGCTAACATGACAAAAAAGGAAAGTGATGAATACTGGAGGGGATGTGGGAAAATTGGGACACTAATGCACCATTGGTGGAGTTGTGAAGTGATCCAACCATTCTGGAAAGCAATTTGGAACTATGCCCAAATGGCTATAAAACTGCATACCCTTGATCCAGCAATAACACTCCTATGTCTGTATCCAAAAAAAAGGAAAAAGGATCATGTACAAAAAATTTTTCATAACAGCTCCTTTTGTGGTAGCTAAGAATTGGAAATCAAAGGGATGCCCACCAATTGGGAAATGGATAAAGAAGCTGTAGTGTATAATTGTGATGGAATATTATTGTGTTGTAAGAAATGACAAGCAGGATGATTTCAGAAAAACCTGGAAAGACTTAGATGAACTGATGCAAAGTGAAGTGAACAGAACCAGGAGAACTTTGTATACAGTAACAGCTATATTGTTCAATGAAAAATTCTGAAAGACTTGGGGCTATTCTCAAGACAATCCCAAAGGACTAATGATGAAGCATACTATCCAGTTCCAGAGAAAGATCTGATGTTGTTTGAATGCAGACTGATGGATGCTGTTTTTCACTTTTTTTCATTTTTTAAAATTTTATTTGAGTCTTGTACAAAATGACTAATATGAAAATGTTTTATATAATTACATGTGTATAACATATCTGACTGATTACCATCAGGGAGGGAGGAGATGAGGAAAAGAGAAAGGGTTAGAATTTGGAACTCAAAAATTTAAATAAGTATGTTAAAAAAAAAAAAGAATGAACGAAATTTGGCTCTCTTTGTCTATCTCTGAAGCTGCTCTCATGGGCTTCTGAAAGGCATGTTTCTGAGATTGGTCACCCCTGGAATAGAACTGTGGGTGAATGTGAGAAACAGGTATTGATTGACACCAAGAGGAATGCGTTAGCGAGACCTTCAGTTTTAACCACCTTGGCTGTGGGTCCCCTGAATTATAACCATCCCAGTAATCAGTTTAGTTGAAGTTGTGACAAAATGGAAAACCACATCAAGAATTTTAAAAAATGGATGGAATTAACAGTGTGTTAAGTGACTTCTCCAGGGTCACATAGTCAAGGTAAGTGTCTGAGGTCAGATTTGAGCTCAGGTCCTTCTTATTCCAGGGCTAGTGCTGTATCTGCTACACCACCTAGCTGCCCCATGTTTCCTTTTTCAAGCTGTTCATTCTCTGCATACTTATATGATCTTGGGAAAGTCATTTTTTTATAATGGCATTTCAATATAATTGTTTTCCTTTCTAATTCCTGTTATTTTACTTTATGCATTTAAAAACATCATTCTGAGAAGGGGTCTGTGACACAGAAAATTTTAAGACAGTTCAAGTCTTGGTGATCTTTTAAGATTGGTCCCTTCTAGCTCTAAATCTTAAGACAATTATGTGATAAAAGGGGTTTTTTTTTAAAAAATGCTTTTATTCATAAAACAATTACAACTATTCAAAGGACAGAATATTTAGATCAAATAAGATACCTACAACACAAAAACCTGCAGTATTAACAAAAAATTGTAGATTATGAAAGGGACCTTAAAGGCCTGATGCTTCATTATTGCAGAACTAGAAGTATCAGAGGCAGGATTTGAACTCAGGTTTTTCTTACTCAACATTCAGCCCCTTATCCACCAAATATCTGGCAGTCAGATGGTTAAATTGTAGAATCACAGACTACTGTGTTTCTAATTGATCTTTTTCCCCCCCAACAATTCATTTATGTTTTTAAAGCGTATTTCATTTAATCTTAATCGTCCCATTTAAATACCTTATGTTATTTAAACTTTGTCTTCCATAGGATATAAGAGATGGAGTGCTAGTGACTGATTTTGTCAGGCAGTGTGTCATAGCAAACCTACATGAAAATTATAACAATAATATTTACATAACACTTCAAGATTTGCAAAACAAATATTTTATCCTCATAACAACTCTGAGAGTTAGGTGTTCTTATTATCCCCATTTTACAGATGAAATAACTGAAGCAGCCAGAGATTAAGTGACTTACTTGTCCAGTTAATAAGTATCTGAGGCCAGATTTCTGACTTTAAAAATCAATGCTTTTTCTTTCTTGGTATAGTACCAAGGGCAGTTAGGTGGCACAGTGGATAAAGTGCTGGGTCTAGAGTCAGACTCATCTTCTTGAGTTCAAATATGGCCTCAGACACTTACTAGCTGTGTGACCCTTGGCAGATCACTTAACCCTGTTTGTCTCAGTTTTCCCATCTGTAAAATGAGCTAGAGAAGGAAATGGTAAACCATGCCAGTGTCTTTGCCAAGAAAAACCCAAATGGGGTCACAAAGAGTGAGACATGACTGAAACGACACAACAACAGTAGTTTGGGAAGGAAGGACTTGGTCCTGTGATTTCATCAATGTAGACAACTCAGTTAAGTTTCCTCCATTGATGCAGATTGATGACTGGCTTGGGCCGCTCAGAAATTACTTATCTAGAGTCACATACCTATCACCAGATGGTAAGATTTGAACACTGCTCTCACTGACTTGAAGACTGGCCTTCCATCCTGTCTCATGTCACCTCTCACAATAAATACCATTCTACTTCAATAATGTCTTCTGGAATCCAGAGAACTTTGTCCATATGTCACATCTTTTCTAACCCCTTTGGTTTGCAATCCTTTTTCCTTATTTTTGGCAGAATTATGCTGAATTGAAGTAAAGAAGTAACTCCCTTTACAAGGTCATACTAAGTCTATGACAAGGCCAGAAGTAGAGTTTCTCTTTCCAAATGTTTTGTCCTCTGATTGCTAGACCAAGTCTGTTAGTCATGGGTTTTCTTGACTTCTTCCCCTCTGTCCTCAGTTTTGAATGTGAACAAGCTTGGTATTGCTAAGACACAAAACAAGTCTTTTGTAGCCAGTTCTTAATTATGCATGCCAGTGGGTGATGTGATTAATTGGAAAGGGTAGGGTTGGTTTTTTGTTTCTTTGTTTTAATTTGTGCTGGGCTTTGACATGTGTGCTTCATACTTAAATTTGAATGTGGTTAGGTTCCTTCCTGAGATTCCTATCATCTGAAAGAAAACAATATAGCTGTGTCGTGAAAGCTCAGCTCACTCAGGAGGGAAATGAAAAATTGTCTAGCTTTTCTCCTCCTTAGCACAGCTCCCTGAGCTCTTTCTTGCTGCTTAAGTTTCTTTTTCATGTGACTGCCTTGAGGAGGCAGCCATAATTTCTCTCTCAAACTACTCTGTGATTCACACCTCTGTTTTAGGGGAGATAAATGTTTTCACCTGTGTGGGTGGTGTCACACTCAAATAGAAATAGGGGCCATTGAACCATATATAAGCATCCCTGCTGGCTGCAAATTGACTTAGAAAACACATATTAACTTTACCCCTATGTTCTATTGTATTTTTGTTCATTTGGTTAAATATTTCCTAATTACATTTTAATCTGGTTTGGGCTTTACTTGGTGAAAAATAGTGTCAAAAAATTTTTGTCGTATACTGTTTATAATGATATCAGTGACTTCGAAAACAAGTTTTGCCCTTAAAATGTGGAATGAACAAATGCTGACTATAATTGGTTTATCTTCTTTAAAATCCTTCATCCTCATGGTCTTTTTTGTTATTTCTCTTTCTCTTCTGCAGTCCAAAACAATAACAGTCACGAATTCTGATACAGTGAATAAAGTCATCACCATGGCCCTGCCAATGCTAGGGATAAATGTAAGTTACTTAGGCTTTCTCATGGTTAAGTGTCATTCTGATGCCTGTCTGTGTAGGATCTCTAAATCTACCCAGAGCACAACCTCATTATCAAGTAGCTCATTATTTGGTGCAAATTCAGGGCAAATTACTCTTTAAAACAGAAAAATAAAAAAAAGCTGAAACATCAGGATTATTCTATAACTTGAGCATTGATTTAGTCACTGATATTAGCTTTACAAAAAGATCAAAGCTTTAGAGTTGTCAGAGACCTCAGAGGTCAGAGGTCATCTTACCTACCAACCTTCCTCAATTTAGAGGTGAAGAAATTAAGCAGTTAACTGACTTGTCCAAAGTCACATGAGCAGTTAGGGGATTCTGATGAATATTTAAATATAAATTGTAGTCTAATGCAACTGAATTAAAACTAGGACTTGCTAATAAAATTATGCCTTCCTTATTCCATATATTTCATATTTTGTAATATAACATTGTCTAATTTGAAAGTCTCAGTGTTGTTCTAGTATACTTAGGTCCCATGAATCTTACTTTCATGCCCATTTTCCAGATTGGGAAATTTAAATGGAATAGTAAATGAGGAGGACTGTTTTAAATAGAATTCAGATTATTTCTGCATTCTGAATTCTGTACTCTAGCCAGTAAACATTTTACTGTGTACATGTTCATAGCAGTGGAATTTATTTTTTGCCTCAAGTTGGAACAACCTATGTCTAATAAATTAGTCTTTGCATCCTGACATTTTAAAGTATGCCTCGAGTTTGTTAGGTCAGGTGTTTTGAGAATTTGTATCCAGGGAAGTGTGAAGGATGTGACATCTTAGGCAATGTGGGCAGGCCATTTTTTCTCTTACAATCCACCCCACGCATCTCCCTCTGGCCTACTGCCATCTGGATCTTTAGTGAGAGTTCAATCAAGACAGCATTTCCCTCCAGATTTCATTGTTTCCTCCCACAGAGACCTCTTCCTTAGGGGATTGTGCTTTTTTCAGCTTCAGGAAAACGAGGAGCTTTCTCCTAACTTTCAAAATTCCAGATATTTTTCTGGAATGCTCAGTCCTTTCCTGAGGCAGACCAGTACTCACCAGCTTTGTATCAAAAAAGCATCCTAAAACTTTATCACAGCATATGGTTGGGAAATAGAGTGACCATTTGCAAGGCGGGGAAGGGGAATGGAATAAGCATTTATATAGCATTTAATATGTGTCAGGCACTGTGCTTTACAAGTGTTATCTCATTTGATCCTCATTAACAACCCTCCCAAGATATTACACCCATTTTACAGTTGAGGAAACCAAGGCAGACAGAGGTTAAGTTACTTGTCCAGGGTCACACACCTAGTAAGTGTGTAAGGTTGGATTTGAACTTAGGTCCTCATGACACCTGCCCTCACATTATCCAGTGTCCAACCTAGCTGCCTCTGCCACTTGAATGAAATGGCCCAGCAAAAAGGAAGGCATAAACAAGAGGGAATGTAAGCAAGTTCTATAAAAGGAGTTTTAGAAAATAGTCCATGTATTTCGCTGTTCCCTCAGAAGCCAGTCTGTTCCAAAAGAGACCTCTGGACACACCACTAAGCACAGCCTAACCAGTCAGTGGTGTACAGACAGTTCAGCCTTGCCGTCCTTCCTTTGGCCTGGACTCTGGGAAATATTGTGAAACATTTGCCATTCCGATGGTTGATAGACTCAAGCTCTTTATGAAGCCAGCATTATCCTAGTGCTCTGCCTCATGAGCCATCATCACTCAGCCACTCTCTGATCAGAGTGGTCATTGTGAGCTCAGACTCCAACATTAAGTGGTCAGAGACCACCTTGGTTTTTAGCGATAAACACAAATCTTGAACTGAAGGAAAAATGGGACGTTCTAAGGAGCAGGAGCTCCTTCAGGGATGGCTATTCAGCCCAGCTATTTGGACCAGATGACTGGTCTGCTGCTTACTACTGCTTTGGGCTTAATGCTAAGAAACGTTTCTGCGAAACCTACAAGGGAACCAGACTTCTTCCTTTCCCCTTAGGAATATTCTATAGCTTGTTATTCCCTGTAACATCCCTTCTTAGATATCTTGGACATCTTGGGGTTTGCTTAAAGACAATCATAGCCAATACAAAGTACAATGAAAGACTGCTTCTTGTAGGGAGGCATTTAAGGAATACTTGATGGGCTGTAGGGGGAAGGGGTGTCAAGTTTGGTCTATATTCTACTAACCGGAGATCCCTGAAATGTTGGAGGCTTAAGGAGATGGTTCCCTTTTATTTTAAATCATATCTTAGGTCCCCTTATATTTTCCAGAGATATTAACTTTGAACACTCCCTGTGACAGCCCTCAGCACTGATCAGCTGTGAGACCCCAGGCATGTCAATGCGCACACATAAAGAGAAAAAGTTGATTTGTCTGCCTTTTGGCTTTAAGTCTAGCATATAAAGGTTATCTTCACATTTTTTACCAAATTTTTACAGTGCAGTATAATTTGGAGTCAGAGGACTTTGGTCCAAATTTCACCTTTATCACTCTCCACTGTGTAACTTCTTTGGACCTCAATGTTCTTATTTGTAAAAATGACGGGCAGCTAGGTGGTATAGTCAATAGAGTACTGGACTTAAAGTCAGGAAGACTCATTTTCCTGTCTTCAAATCTGGCCTGAGGTTAATGTCTGTGTGACCTTGGACAAGTCATTCAACCCTGCTTGCCTCAGTTTCCTCATCTGTAAAATGAGCTGGAGAAGGAAATGGCAAACCACTCCAGTATCTTTGCCAAGAAAACCCCAAATAGAGTCATGGAAAGTCGGAGTGAACAAGTGGAAGACTGATTTTGAAGAACTTTTAAGTGCCAAGCTGACAATCTCAGATATTATCCCAGAGTAATAGGGAGCTGCTGAAAACTTTTTAGTAGGGGGATGTGATATTCAGAATTGTGCTTTAGGAAAAACAACTTAGGGGCTATGTAGAGGATGGTTTGGAAAAGGAAGAAAATGAAAAAAAGGGAGACTAACTAGATGCTATAACAGTAATCCAGGTGAGTGGAGAGGAGACCCTGACCTGGCATAGACGCTGTGTGAATAAAGAGAAGGAAGGAAGAAGACAAGTATTTTATTATATGCCTACTGTGTACTAAGTACCTTACAAATACCTCATTTGATCCCCATAATAACACTATGAGGATGGTACTATTATCATCCCCCATTTTACAGATAAAAAACTGAGACTGACAGAGGTTAAGTGACTTGCCCAGTGTTACATAGCTAGTAAGAGTCTGAGGCTGGATTTGAACTCAGATCTCTCTGACTCTCAGTCCAGCTGTACCACCTGGATACAGTGATGAGAAATGTAGAGGGAGGGTCAATGAGACATGACAACTAACTGCCTAATAAAGGGAGAGGAAAAGTGACTCCACAGTTGGTAAAGCAGATGATTGGAACAAAGGGAATTCCATTAAAAAGAAATGGGGACATTTGGAGGAAGATTTCTGAACACCTCCCGATGTTTTCCTAGAAAACACATGCCTAGTACCTAGCTCTTAAATATGAAATGGAGTTGATATTCTACTTCTCTGTAATGAATTAGCAAACGAAAAGAAATTCTTTCAGTTAAATTCAGCAAACTGTTATTAAGTACCTCATACATACAAGATTGTTTATTAAGTATGAGTATATATAAGATAACTTATTAAGCACCTAGTACACACAAGACAACTTATTAAGCACCTAGTACATACAAGATAACTTATTAAGTACCTGGTATATACAAGACACTGTGCTTTGACTTTGATCTAAATAGACATCATTGATGTCACATCTGTACCACCTTGTACACTTTCCTGTCTCTAATTCCTCAACAATTTCTATTTTGAAGAGAAATGTTTGAGAAGTTTTTCTGGTGGAGGTGACTAGATATTTAAGAGCTGAAGAAGAATAGAGGAGTGGGAAAGTTATCATGACTAGTTAAGTCACAGAAAGCTTTGTTAACAGCAGAGCCCAATCCTCCTTCCCTCCTCTGTCTCCTTAATATATAGACAGCACAAAAGCAGGTATTCTGTTTAATAAAAGGGAATGAGAAGCAACATAGTGCAGTGGAAAGAGACTGAAATTGGAGTCATGGGTCTTGGGTTCCAATTCCACTCTGCCACGTACTACCTTAGGCAAAGCCCTTCAGCTCTCTGGGATTGTTTCCTAATCTAGAAAATGGGGTTGTGCTAGATGACATCTGGGTCCCCTCCAGCCCTAAATCTGTGATCCTATGGCTGCTACTTTGACCAAGACCTAAGGAAGCACTTCAGTAAGATGTTTATCATCACAACCAGATAAACAAAGTATTGTCATTATGAGCTATTTGCTGAGACATTGAAGAGGCTCTAGTAATAACTAACATTTCTGAAATGCTTTTTTTTTTTTTTTTGGTTGGGCAATGGGGATTAAGTGACTTGCCCAGGGTCACACAGCTACTAAGTGTTATGTGTCTGAGGCCAGATTTGAACTCAGGTCCTCGTGAATCCAGGGCCAGTACTCTATCCACTGCACCATCTAGCTGCCCCTGAAATGCTTTACACTTAGAAAGTGGTTTCCATGTATTCTACTATTTGAATATCATCATACCCTGTGAGGTAATTGTGAAGATATTTTATACTCATTTTATAGATGAGGAAGTGAGAGTTTAGAAAGGCTAAACAGCTTATTCAGAATTCCTTGGCTAATAAGTAGTAGGGCCAGAATCTGAACTTGGGTCTTCTGACTCTAAGTCACGTGTTCATTCCTTTATATTATATTGCTTTCTTATACACACCACATCATTGTAATCACACTTACTTAATCTTCAGTGTCCAGGTCAACAGCAATTTGCTTAGGTTGCGAGGGGAGGAATTGGTACTCACCCACCAATGTTGGAGTAGATTTTAGAAAATAGTAGAATGAGAAGGCCACATATTGAAGGAAATGAACACAGAACTGTACATCAGGATGTTCTATTTTATTCTCCGAAATAACACCAATTGGGAGACATAGGGTGAGCCAGTCAATGCATTTTCCTCATCTGTAAGAGAAGGAGGGAGGAAGGGAGAGTATTCCAGGGTCCCTTCCAGCTGTAGCATTCAATGGTTGATTCTTCTCAGATTGCTTGAAGGAGTGAGCTCTCTTAATGCATTTGAAGTATAATTACTTGGACAGAAATTTTACCTACTTAGAAATTCTTTATAACACACTTATTAGATAAAGCAAGTCTCTCCTGGTATTGTTTCTTCTACCCTTTCTCTTGTATTTATTTGTATATATGAAGAGCTCTAATTGGTATGAAATGAAGAGTAAGGCACTAAGTCTTGGAAGAGGCTGGTTGCCAAAACCACTGTGATTAGTTTGTAGGGAAAAAAAAATAACATTTGATATATTATGGTCTCCTTCAACAATCTGATGAGTTTCTTTTCTCGTTTGTTCTTTTTCCTTGGCTAAAGTGATCAATTTTTTTCACATGAAAAGAATCTCAAACTATTTAATTTAATTAAGGATGGAGGCTGTTTGCTCATATACAGTTTCCAAGAATTACTATTCTGTTTTTTCTGCCACTACATAAAATGACAGGATTTTATTAGGGGCATATCTTTCTATTTACAGTAAATTTAAACTAAAGTTTTACCACTGCGATGCATAAAGAATATTTTTGAACTTTTTATGTCCTTTCGTGTAAAATAAGTTAACATTCTCCATGACTGAAAGAAGGATTTCTAGTAAATAGAATTCTGGACTTCAATTCACAATATACTGAGTTCAAATCCTATCTCAGTCACCTAATAGCCTATGTGGCCCTGAATAAGTCACTTCTCAGCTTCAGATTCCTCATCTATAAAATGGAAATGATAATAGTACCTACTTACTGGATAGTTGTGAGAATCAAGATAATCTGTATAAAGTGCTTTGCCAACATAAAAGTGCTATATGAATTATGACGATGATGATGCTGATGAAATGTATGAGAGCAAGGCTATGGTTTTCAATGGGAAGTGAAGAGCAAAAGAAATAAAAAACAAACACAAACCATCTTGCCAAAGACTGATCTATCTGAAAGAATTTTCTGCTGTAGAATACTTTAACATGATCCCACAAAAGATATGCCAGGGAGGGTTATCTCTCCCCAAAATGGGACTGCTAGAATCTATTATTTTCTATTAATGAGAGTGATTGCGCTAGTGGATGGCTTTGTTTTCCTTGTTTGGAATTGCTGTCCTCCAGATTCAAGGTTTTTTCCTTCTCTCTCTTTAGAAAAGATTTTGCTTAGCTGAAATCCCAAACACATCCCTTCTGTGCCATCATCTCAAAGCTAGTTGCCCAGCTGCTACCAGCAGCAGGGTGAATGCACTTTATAAAACTGTCACCCCTGTCTGTCACAGCACTAAATGAATGGTGCTTGTGGTTTTCCCAGTTGTATGACAGATATTTATTGCAGGGTCAAACAGAGCCCACATCAAAGATTTTCTGAGAACACTGAGGAATCAACAAAGGCCAAGATCTCAAAGAGGAGGTCGTTCTCTCGGAAATGAGGAGGAATGTGGAAAAGTGTTCCAAATCACTAATAAAATGAGAGATACAAATGAAATGCACTGTGAGGCTTTACCTCACACCAATAAATTGAAAAAACATAATAAAAAATGGAAACAGTCCATGTTTGAGGGGCTGTGGGAAGATAGGAACATGAATACACTGTTTGTAGTACTATAAATTGTTCCATCTGTTCTGGAGAAGAATATGGAATAACGCAGTGAAGATCATTAAGCTAGACCTTTTGGTTTATCGGTACGACTAATGGGCAAGGGAGTAAATGACAGAAAGGAAAGTCATTATATATAAAGTGTCCCAAAGGTCTTGGAAGCAAAAAATTATACTAAGGCTTTTGGGACACACTATACATAACAACATATACACACACACATACACATAGCATCACTTTGTGTGGTGGCAAAAAAAAATTGAGAAATAAAATGGATGCTGTTCAGTGGGGAAAGGTTGAACAAATTGTGACATATGAATATAGTAATAACATCATACTGCAAGGAAGGTCAGATATAAGGAAGTCACAAAACAAGGGAAAACAAATGTCTGTGACCAATCAAGAAAAGTTTGGCATCGCTCATGTAGGAGGTGGAATTCAAACCGACTTTGAGGGATGCTAGAGATTCTAAGAAGTGAAGGAAGAATACTGTACCAGACTGGCTCTAGAGTGAGAGGACCCAGGTTCAAATCCTGCCCTAATATTTGGTGCCTTTGTGACCTTGGACAAATCACTTAAACCTTCCTGGGCCTCAGTTTCCTCATCCACAAAATGAAGGGGTTGTACTAGATGGCCTCCAAGGTCTCTCCCAGCTCTGAATCTATGTCCTTTGATATGCGCAATATTATAAGAATGTTAAAAGACAGGAGAACTCTAATGAAGAATCTCTGTTCTGAAAAACAAACAACGAAACACATCTTTCACCTGGAGAGTTGGGAGATTATGGATGTAGAATGTGGCACGTGCTATCCACTGCAAGCATTAGGTTCATTGGCTTTGCTTAAATGCTTTTTTGTTGCTTCACTACCAAGAACAGTTCAGTGGGGCAGAGGAGGAGAGGGAAAGGGAAGTAACTGTGTATAAAAGAAAAAGGCAACAATGAACATTTAAGGAGGAAAAAAAAAGATGAGGAAGAGTTCCCTGAACTCTTAAGAAATAGTGAAGATATGAAGTCATGGTCTATGGATTGCATCATGAGAGGGATGGACTCTCTTAGGGTATGTGATGCTGTTTGTAGTTTGATATTTCCCTGGACTGTTAATGGAAAGGGGAGGACATCTGGATCCTTTGGTCCATCTCTGGAAGCTCTGGGATGGCTCTCAGCCCCACTGCCTCAGACTGCTGTCAGTTACAGCATGCCATAGCCTGAAATAGGTAGTAAATACCCATTGGCAATCATAAAATTGAAAATCTCTAGCACAAACCCAGAAAGAAGACTGCTTTAACTCTTGAGGGGTGTCTGTGCGTTTTATTTCATAGGGTTCTGCAAAAGACTACCAACTCTGGGTGAACTCTGGGAGAGAAGAAGCTCCGTACCCACTCATTGGTAAGTTTCTAGGAAAATCTAAGCAGGGGAGTTGTTAAAAAGGTATTTAAAGGAAAAACCCACCAGTAGAGGGACACTTAGTGCTGATCTTGTTACACTTCGGGCCTTCTCTCCTTTGTGTTATGCTTCCTAAACGAAATGAGATGTTTACTTTTCAGAAAGATTTCTAGAGTATTCTAAGAAAATGTAAAATAAATAAAGAATAAGGCTGAGGGGAAACCAAAAGCCACACCTTTATTTACCTGCTAGTTTCTTGTTTCTTGGTTGATGGATGGTTAGATTTCCATTGTATGCGGTGCTTGTCAGGCCACATCTAGAACATCATGTCTTCACAACATGGAATAGGCCCAGAGAAAGGCAACCAAAGATGGTGAGGGGGTAGTGGGTAGGGGCTGGAGAATGAACCACATGCAACCAGTGAGATCAGTGAGAACGAGAGATGTTTCAAGAAGGTGGAGAGCTGGGGGTGGGCACAGGTTATGAATACTGTCTGGATGTATTTGAAGTCTTACCATGTGGAAGACACATGAGATTTGTTTTCCTTAGACTCAGATGGCATAAATTAGGAGCACTGCCAGTCAGAAGCTGCTGAGAGGTACATTTTGCCTCAGAGTAAGGAAAACCTGCTTAGCAATTGGAGGTGTCCAGACATGGAATGGAGTATCTTTAGAGGGGATGGTTTCCCTATCACTGGCTGTCCTCAAATGAAGATTAGCTGACTCCTAAAATTTGGATGAAATGTCTTCAGAGAACTAATATCTCACCCATCTAATTGTTTGTTGTTTTTTTTCTTTTGGGCCCATCCATGTTAATTTTAGAATAGCTCTCTTCTTTGCCATGTGCTTAGTACTTAAAGTGTAATTCTTGAATTTTGCCTGTAGTCTCCAGACTGACTCTGCCTTGAGAGAACTACTTATGATATAGGCATAGGAAACAGTTCATCTGCGAGCAATTAATAAGCACCTTACCTTTGGACTCTTCACAGTATTCTCCTACTCTCCAAACCACAGGGTTAAATCATCTCTTTGCCTGGACTTCTTAGCACTGATTCACCAGAGCCCATAACTAAAATCAATAGATCATTAAGCCTCTTCCCTCTAATGAGCACCAGTAAAGCAGAAGCTTGGACCAGGAGATCCAGATCTCCTGGACAATCTCCAAGGTGGTGGTTGCCACTAGGCCCCTCACTGTGAAGTGGGCTGGAATCCAGAAGGACTTCAGAGCAGGCCATATTTCCCTGTGTCCACCATAGAGACTTCTGTCAGCAATTCTCCCCTCAGTGATCTCAAGGCAAGTTATTTCCAGGCATCTCAGCTGCAGGGGATCCTCTCTCTCTGCAGGACAGACACATGTACATGCACTCACATTTACTTAAAAAGTCACTTTCGTTATGTAGTTTCTGTGTCATGTCAAAAAGAATAAATGTCTCTCACCTGATAAATCTTTCTTGAAAAACTGCATTAAAGAATCAACAATGTTGGAAGACCTTTAGGATTGGGAAGTTAGAAGAGAAGTCTTTGGAAGTACATTTAAACAGCACAGTTTTCACGATAGTTTCTTGACAGATGCATCATTCCATTCAGTATGACTTTTAACTCCCTTTCATAGTTAAAGGCAGCTATGAAATGGTGTTACTTACATTGTCTTATGCCATTAGCAAGATTTAGACCCAGAGTGGGCCTATCTTGTTCTGCTTGCCCAGTCCTTAACCTTTATTTATTTAAGTGTTTAAGTGTGCCTGCCTTTTCTCCTAAAGAGAATATCGCCTAGTTCTACCTTCAGAGAGGCATCTGTGGTCTGCTGGAAAGACACAGCATTGGCTTTTGATTCACACAAACTGGATTCAAGGCCTGGTTCTCTCATTTCCTGCTTCTGTGAGTTTGAGCATAAACAGGGTTAAGTGACTTGCCCAAAATTGTACAGCTAAGAAATGTCTGAGGCCAGATTTGAACTCAGTAATATGAGTTTTCCTGTCTCCAGGCCTGGCGCTCTTTCCACTATGCAACATAGCTGCACATCTGTCTATCTATCCAAATACACATCCACATATACACATATATATGTGTGTGTATATCTATATCTATATCTATATGTATCTGTATCTATATCTATCTATCTATCTATATATATATATGTACATACACATACACACACACACACACAAAATCTTTTTAAGTGTCAACAATGGTCATTCCACCTCTGAATTACTACTGCATAGGCACATATTTTCAGTCTCAGTCTCTTGGTTAGTTTTGCTGAACTGCTTCTTCCCTCTCTTTATGTTTGGTAATAGGTGCTGACGTACTGTGTAGAATAGGAGAGAGGGGTAAAGGTGATATAAAAACTAGCAGATATAAAAAAGAATTAAAATTTTGAGTATAAAAGACTTTCCTTGGGCCCTTTCATTTTTCATTGGGTTCAGCAGTTAGATCATCCATCTCTTACTTCTCACTCTTGTTCCATGCTGGGCTTATCTCTTGGAATGCTTACTTTAAGAAATGAAGACAAGAAGCAAAATATCCACAGAGAGGAAAATGTGGTGACCCATTACACTTCTTCCTATTCTACAAACAATAGCAAATTGTCTTCAAGTTTCTGACCACGTTCTTAGGTCATTTTAGTTGGGGTCAGGCATCCTATTGACATTCAACAAAAGCCCATGCTTATTAACTGCAAATGGCATGAGAGACCATTGTACTAGAGAAGATTCACAGCTTAGATAAGACATATCCCATTTCTTCATGCAGTTTGCAATTAATTCAGTGGGATGGGCTGCCTCAAGAGATAGCAGGTCCCTACCCCAGCATTGAAGGTTTTCTAGCAGTAGATAGATAATTACTTGTCAGTTACATTACATTTGGGGCGTCTTTTGTGCATGGCTTGGAATAGGTGACTGCTGAGGTCTTTTTGAACTCTCAAATTCAATGATAGCATTCAGTAGGATATAAGATATGTATAAGAAGGCAAAGTGGTAGAGAGAGTGAGAAAGATTTGCATTCTAGTCTAGCCTCTGAAACATACCACTGGGTGACCATGGGCAAGTCTTATCCTCTTCTTTCCCCCGGGCAGCTATGTAAGTCTATGATTATAGTTAACAGATTGGTTGTCCATCTTCATTGGTGCAAGTAATTTCCATGCTGGGAGTTGCCTATACCAATGAAATCATGGTGATGCACAGATATCTGTAATGTGTAGCATTCAGTGCTAAGTATATTAGACCAAGATCAACAAACTGTTATAGGAGATCCAAGGGGAAAGAGCATTGTTGGCAAGGTGGGACCAGAGAAGCCATTGATCCGTGTGTCCCTGGGCCATGACAAAATAAATTGCCAACTTTGTTGCACTTAATTTAGTCCCTATGCAGCTGTTGATAATTTTTGTTTTGTTTCTTAAAGGGGGTTAAGAATTTGAGTTAAGATGCGCAGCTTTCAGAGGAGCTTTGGGCACTTGCTCATTTGCCCACAAATCTTCAAGTTGGTTCCCCTTGGCATCTTTCTGGGAAATCGTGTGGGTAGCAGCAGCCTTTAGGCTCTTAATCTAACCTGCATCAGGGACATTATGGGTGCTTGCAAGATAATAGTGCACACCCTGATTGTCACACCATATCAACACCACATTTTCTGGGTCCTGAGGGCTTTTCAACCCTGAACTATTGATTAGCCATGTGTCCTTCACACACATTTCTTTCATTTGGACCCCTCACACCCCCCCCTTTTTTTTTGGCTGACTAGGGGAAGTTGCTGTAATAATTTATTATGGCTCGAACTTCATCAGTGTGTTGGGATTTCTGCCAGAGGAACACCAAAAGGACAGAATGGGTTGCTTAAGTTTAGTGAGACAAAGTAGGAGTGGGATGAAGGGCACCTTCACTGTTCCCTTAAAATATCTGCATTACAGCAAAATTTGGAACACAGAGGCCGTTGTCAGCCTATGAGGGAGTGACCCACCAACATGTACTCTATTCTTAAACCCCAGGAGTCTAGTTATCCTATCTGTGAAGAGTTTACCTTGCTCACTGATTCCTGCAGCCTTGCTGTCATTCCCTTCCTATAACAGTTCTCCCATTGTCTGTTGTAACTCCTGACAGAAGACAATGGCAGAAGAGAAGATTGAGAGTGGACAGAGTTGTTCCCAGCAAATGTTGTTGATTCTTAACTGTCCAGGGTCACATCCAGTATGTGAATGATCTGGCCAGTTCAATCCCCAGTTGTCTCTCTGTCAGGATAGACAGAACATTTTCCAGCCCAACTAGACTACTCCATCCTTCAGACATTCCCTAATCTTTCCTACCTCTGTGTCCAATACCTAAAATGCCTTTCTTCCTCCTCTTCACCTGCTAACCATCCTTCATTTTTTTAATTTGTTTTGCTATCCCTTGTTTTTCCATCAAGTACATTGCAAAAGAAAAGAAAGCAGTTAAGTACAACTAACCCACACATCAAAAAAATCTAACAGGATATTCACTGTTCCATATCCATAACCCCCCCCCATACACACACACACACACACACACACACACACACACACACACACTCTGCCTTCTATTTTTCTTCTTTTGGGGTTAACCTTAGGCGCTATGAATTCATAGCATTCAGTTTTGATTGCAATATTGTTGTACACTCCATTCACATTGCTGTAGTCCTTGTATCTATTGTTTTTCTGGTTGTGTTTACTTTACTTTGAATCAGTTGAAGTAAGTCTTCCCATAGGTCACTGAATAAATCACTCCTTTTTTTTTTTAACAGTACAATAATATCCCATTACATTCACAAACCACAACATGTTTAACCATTTCCCAGTTGATGGGTATATATTGTGTTTGCTTGTTGTGTATTGTTGTTCAGTCATGTCCAACTCTTCATGACCCCATTTGGAGTTTTTTGGCAAAGATACTGGAATGGTTTACCATTTCCTTCTCCAGCTCATTTTTACTGATGAAGCAGCTGCGTCAAACAGGGTTAAGTGACTTGCCATGTTCACACAGATAGTAAGTGTCTTGAGGCCAGATTTGAACTCAGGATGATGAGTCTTCCTGACTCCAGGCCTGGAGCTCTACCCATTGCACTTGCATTAGAGTTTGGTATTAGAGTTTTTGCCTTAGCTTCCCTGAGATCAGAGATAATATCTTCCCAAAATATCATTTCTCTCCTGGTGCCTAGCAGAGGGTTTTGTGCCCAGCAGATACTTAATAAATTATGTATAAATGGATAGATGAGTGGTTGTATCATTGAATCAGGAGAGTGCAGAGCTTGCAACCAATATCTGACTATAATTGCGTTAGGATTGATTTGTCGTATCTCTCCCTCTTCGCCTGTTCTTCCTTTTTTGTAAGGAATTAGCAGAATAAGAGAGATGCATTCAGATGTCAGCACAGGATTTTGAAGTTTTATTCTTTTGTCTACCTCAAGGAAAAACAAAATAAGAAAAAATGTGCTCCTTGCTACTCTGAGAATAGAGCACTCAGTTTCCACTATAGAATACTCCTCTGGACCTGTGAATGATGATTACTGCCCAACAAAGTTTATAGACTTTTTAATTCATGGGACCCAAACCCCAAAGGGCAGATAGGAGGCTCAGCAGATAGAGTGCCAGGCCTGGAGTCAGGAAGACATGAGTTCAAATCTGGCCTCAGCCACTGCTGTATGACTGTGCACAAGTCACTTATCCCTGTTTGTCTCAGTTTCCTCATTTGCAAAATGAGCTGAAGAAGGAAGTGGCAAACCACTCCAGTATCTTTGCCAAGAGAAACCCAAATGGGGTCACAGAGACTGAAATAACTGAATAACATCACCCAGAGAGAAACTGATCGCCATTCCAGTACGTCGCATACATTTTCACAACAAGGTAGCTATAGTATAACTTTGTGACCAAGCTATTCAAAGTCCGTTATTTGAACCTTTCCCTTCTAGGTCATGAGTATCCTTATGGAATTAAAATGAGCCACCTTCGAGACACTTCATTCCTGACGCAGGGATCAAAGGACTCCCTGTCGCCTTTGGACTTCCAAGAGTCCTTCCTCGTGGAGCAGCTGCCCCGGGAGATGCAGTGCCAGTTTATACTGAAGCCCAGCCGCCTGGCCAGGAGCCAACCACTGACTGGTGAGTGGCTTCCCCTCACGGGGGTGGATTCAGCACCAAGTATGCAGACCTGAAAACTGCTGTTGTTCTAAGATGAATTACTTGAGGCAAGAGATGAGGGGGAACAAATTCTAGCCAGATGAGGAGCTTTTTCTCTCAGATTGCTCTCTCTTTACACTGAATTGAGAAAAGGTGAGATTTCACAGAAAGGGTCATATTAGTTAGCAGTACACATCAGTGGACAGATAGCAACAGTATTTTCTGTTGTTCCTTTTCTACACTTTCATTTTTACTTTAAGCCTCTGCTCACTAGAAAGACTGAAACCAGGTGACATTATCGGTGCTTCCTCAGCCTCTCTTTTTGCAAACCTTCTTCTCCTCTCATCATACACACTACTGCATCAATGTTTAAGTACACAGGTTGTGGAACCAGGGACACCTGAGTTCAAATCCTGCCTCAGATAATTACTAGTTGTGTGACTTTGGGCAGGTCACTTAACCTCTGTTTGCCTCAGTTTCTTCATCTATTAAATGGAGATAATAATAACATCTACTTCACAAGTTTGTTGTGAGGATCAAATGAGATGATATTTGTAAAGTACACGGTAAACCTTAAAACATTTCTAAGTATTGTTGTTATTGTCACCTAATGGATAAATCATGGGCATTAGGCCATGCGGAAGGTGTGTGTCAGTAGGCTGAGGTACCCTGCTTGGTGGCTGATATTTATGAAAAGTGGGAGAAAATAAAGCTAGATGGAAGCAGAATATTCCAGTGATGCTGGGGAAATCTCTACCTGGCTTTCTGAACCACGTGAGTTAACATATGGCTATTTTTGTCACGTTGTCGTGTTCTGGACTGGACAGTCTTCTTCCACCTCACAATCATAGAAGACAATATGAAAGGAATTGGAGCTGCAGGTAACCTTAGAGGTGACCTAAACTAGCCCCATCATTGTACAAGTAAGGAAATGAAGATTCAGAGGGTGACCTGCCCAAAGTCACACAGCTGACAGGCAGCAGAGTTGGGATGTTTGAAGCTCAAGTGTCCTAACAGCAAATCCTGGACTCTTTCTACTGCCCAGGCTGCTTTCTGCCTTAGACTCTGGATTTAAAAAAAAATACAACATAATGAAATTGGTAATCACCTTGCTGCTAATTTGAGCTTCAAGTTAAAAGCCTTAGTAAATTAAGAAGCATCTTGAAAACCACATCCTAATCATCTTCATATCTTTTCTCATTTTCTCTTCATTCTTCCTTTCCACAACAAACCATACACATCTAACAAAGTTACAGCATCAAGTTTTCTGGACACTTCCAATTTCAAAAAAAGTAAGTACGTTTTAATAGAGCTTTGAAAAAGGAAAACTTAATGTCCTAATTGATGGCCCAGAGAACGTAATACATACTCAGTGAATTTAGGTCATGTTGAACAGTATACCTTTCTTGTTGTCATATCTCCCTGCTTGTATTTGAAGCATCTTGAGGCCAAGGTACATATAGTAGCCGAGCTTTGTATAGCCCCCAGCATTGTACAGAGTCAGCACCTAATGAATGTCGTGTGTATATGCACACGTGTGGTTTTCAATAACTGCTTACTGAATTTAATTGCACTGATTCCAAAGACTGAGTTGTATGTAAAACAGGAGAAAATGGATTCCAGAACATCATAAACAATTAAAAAAAATTGAAAGTTATTTTCATCTATTAAATTTGAAGAATAGTTTTTTCACCATAGTATTGTCATACTGTTTGAAAGTTCATATTATATATTACTGTCTACGTGAGGCCCTTAATGATCTTGCTAGCTCTTAGTAACTCTATCCCCACCTCCTCCCTGAAAATAAAATTACTTTATATTTCATATGTGTATACTTATATCTCTACATGTTGTCTACCCTGATAGAATAAAAGTTCCTTTAGGGCATGGTCCTGTTTCAGTTTTGTCTTTGTATCTCCAACAGTCAGTCAGTAAGCATTTATTAAACTCCTACTATATGCAAGGCACTGTGCTATTTGCTGGGGATAAATAAAGGCAAAATACAGTCTCTCCTTTCAAGGAGGTCACAGCCTAACGGAAGAGACAATATTCCAAGAACTATATACAAGCTGTGTACAAGATAGATTGGAGATATCAGCAGAGGGATGGCACTAACATTAAGGGAAAGGCTTATATCCATTTGAAGGCCAGGGCACCAGATTCCTTGGAAGAAGCACAGATTGATGAGCAAGAGGATAGTAGAAGGAGCAAAGTCTTGGAGGAAGTGGGAGGATGAAAACACAGATGGAACTTTGGAAAGTAGAAAACATGTCTTCTGAGAAGGAAGGGAAGCATATTAATAGTGGCAAATACCTGTAGCACTTTGGGATTTACAAAGTAGTTGATATTTATTATCTCAACTCCCTTCTGAAGTAGGTCATTGTAGAAATGTTATGATATCTATTTTACATATGAGAAAAAAACACAGAGAGGTTAATTGAGGTGAAAAGGAGCATGAAAGGTCCTTCAAGGCACAGGCTGTTTTTATTTTTGTTTCCTTATCCATGGAACCTTGTTCAACTTTGTGTTTGTTGGATTGGATTGAATGAAAGAATGAGAATGAATAAAAGCATTGCTAGCAACAATGGGGGTCTAGAGAAGTTAAGTAAAATGGAAATGTAATGAGCTCTGTCTGCAGAATTCTATGACTTTCTCTAGCAGTACAGTACTTTATACTTGAGATTGGCAGCAGACAAAATGAGCCTTACAAGCCAGGATGTCCAGTTTCATGTTTGAGCACCAGTGTTTTCAGTGGAATGAGAGCTGTGGGTCCGGTTTCCATATTTCTGTGCCTCTGCTTAACTACTTGGATAAACTAGAAGCTCTCTCTCAGAATAATGTGATATACCCATTTTACAAGTATGTTAACTGAGGCAAGCTATAGTTAATAAAACCTCAAACAAATTTAGGTCAGTCATTAGAAATTCATAAGGTTGTAGGGTACATTTGGAGATCATTGAGGCCATCTTCATGCCTTCTGTCATGGGATCCCAGACTGAGAGATAAAAGGGGATCCTCCAGGTCATCTAGTTCTACTCTCTAAATCATTTTAGAGTTGAAAAAATTGAGACCCAGAGGGGTTAGGTTGTATGCCCACATTTCATGCAGGTAGTTCTCAGATTCCAAATCCAGAATTTTTTCCACTCTTTCATGCTGATTCCCCAAATCTTTCTAAGTGGACCAGACATCAGTTACCCTCCAAAATGGTTGGCACCATTACCTGCCAGTAGATGCAATACTTTATCCTAGTTTTATATAGACACTAATGGGAAAGCAGTGACATTACAGGTGTGCCCTGCCTTAAGAAAATTCAATTTGAAAAATATCTAGATTTAAATACTAGACAAGCGAAAGAGTTCATTAATTCATATCATAAAAGTTCTCCTTGCTCTAGCTTAGAATTCAGCCCAGGGTTCCTTGAAATAGAAGCCTCCTGTTGCATTTTAAAAGACTTAATTTTTCATTTGATTTGTACACAACTCCAGAAACATCTGGTGTGTTAAGTGAGCTACAACTGTGCCTTCCTCACCTGCCCCTCAGTGTTAGTGTTAGCATTTTCATAGCATGGGCATAGTTATGAAACAAATAGAATTCTTACAGCATTCACTCCTTGATGCTCATTTCCTGTCTCCATGATTTTGTTTCTTCTGGTCCCCCTACCCAGCTTAGGTATCATAGACTCAGAAATCCAGAGCTGGAAGGGACATCAAAGGCTATTGAGGCCAACCCCCTCGTTTTATAGATGAGGAAACTGAGACTCAGGAAGTAAAATTACTTGCTGGAAGTCACAGGTAGTATCAGGCAAGATTTTGACCAAAACCTTCTGATACTGGGCTGTTCTTTTCACTTTGCTTAGTTTGTGTTCAACTTTATTCACTAATTACAATTCCTGAGATTTATATAGTACTTTAAGGTTTACAAAACACTTTGCAAACATTGTCACATTTGAGCCTCACAACAACCACATGAAGTTATTATTCCTGGAGACTAAGTGATGAAGGTAAGGATTTGTAGTGGGAGAGGACAAGGTAGATGGGAAGAAAGGAGGAGGGAGGGAGGAAGGAAGAAAGGAAGGAAGGATTAAGCATCAAGCATCTACTATGTGCACTGAACATTGTTAAGTGAAGCTAAAATGGGGAAGATGATATGGGGACAGAATCATAGGATTTGGAAATTTTGAATATGGAGTTGAATGTAAGTGACTGGAAGAATGGTTATCATCTTTAAAAGCAGGGAAGTTGAGAGGATGGGGCCAAGGTTAAGGAGAATAAGCTATTCTAGACAGTTGGGAGAAAAGATAATAAAACATGGCCCCTCATCTATCCTAGCACATATGGTTCTGTTCTTTCTCTCTCACATGTCTAAATCTTCCCTCTCCAACTAAACTAAGGTTATATTTTTAGTGTTCAATGTGTGGCAAGAGTTCAATAAATTCATAATTAAATTAAATCCTTAAATATCCAAATGCATTTCTGATACATGAGGAGAATAGGATTTTCCAGAAAGTTAGATTTTAAGTTTTTCTTCCATCTTACCCAATTTCTAGTTCATGTGATTGACTTTTCTTAGAAGAAATCAGACTGGCTAGAATAATTCAGTTCCTGGCAAAAGTGTTCTTTCTCAGAGTCATTATGTCTGCAGTATTTGCAGGATTGAGATTTAGAAGCCTTGATAACCTGTGGCCAGCCTCTAACTAATTCCTCATGGGCGTGGAGGGTGGGGTGTGGAGTGTCTGTAGAGAGTCTTTACTTTAGTGGGTTAGGAGGAAGAAGAGGAGGGCAGAGTTAAGGCCAATTTGGGAAAACACTAGAGAAAGTCCTTGTCTTGCTTTAGTTTCATTCACCTGCCACCAGTGGAGAGTAATTCCTGAGCTTGGGCAGATTAGGAAGAAACTTGAAAGTAGGTAGGCTTTGGCCATTCAGGGTTGGATACATGAGTGAAGGGGATATAACTTGGAAAAGTTTCAGTAGTTCTATCTATAA